CTGGGGGTTACAGGGCTTGGGCTTTCAGGCCTGCACCCTTTGGGGGACGAGGGGCCACTGAAACTTTTCCTAAGCTGGAGATGTCGGGGCAGGCCGTGGGTGAGGAGTACAGACATGGATGACTCCCCAGAACGACTAGGGGGCTCGTTCAGCCAGACCGTCCGCTCCACTCTGCTCCGTTGTGGCTTGGGCCTGGCCACGTAAGGCCTGGGCGCTCCGGCCAGTGCCCTGCGCTCCAGTGGCTCAGGATCCCTTTTGCTCGCTCCTACTCCCCCCCTCTCCAGAGTCTTCCCAGAGCTCCTGCTGCCACAGATTGGCTGCTGCCCCAGAATAGGGCAGGTGGAAGGTAAACAGGAAACTGCTCACCTTGGCAAAGTCTGGGCCGAGGAGACAGACGAGGGAGGCAGATTGCAGGGGCTGTGTGGAAAGACCAAGCTAGCAGGAGAGGCTGAGGCTGGAGCTGGGACTAGGTCAAGCCCCCTTGGAGCCAGGGAGGGGGTCTCTGCACACAGCCTGCACTGTGGCCAACTGGGAGGCCCACTGGGAGGGGGCCACTCAAGAGTGCTCCAGACCATTGCTCCAGGGTCTCCTCCTTCTGTAACAGGGTGGTCCCTAAGAAAAAGGGAAGTTCCAGGTTCCCTGCCCCACCCAGAGGGAGGGTGGAGCTGAGCAGAGAAAAAGGAGAGGAGAGAAGAGAATGAAGCAGGATGGAGGAGGAGGAGACCTGAGGAAGCCACATTGAGCAGCGAGCATGTGATGAAGAAACCGTGCTTGTTTCCTGCCCTGGACTGGTTAAGGCAGATGTGGGTGAGAAACCTGCAGGGAGGTGACTATGGCAGTGTTGATTTTGATTTTGCCCTTTTCCTCCCAGATTTGTCTGGCCATTTCTGACCCTTTTCCATGGGTCCCGGCCAGAAGGTGCTTTAGTCTTGTGGCAGCTTTCAGGTCTTGCTTTGGGCCAACCCCTTTTGGGTTGACTTTTGCCCACGAGGGGATGGGTAACTTCAGGTGTTTGATTTAGAAGTTATATTCTTTGTGTTCCATATTGTATATTCACTGTATTAAAGTCCCTTTTCATTAAAGTTTTATATGTTTTGTCTTGACGCGGCGGATGGCAGAACCCACTTAGAGCAGGCAGGTTTGGGGGCTTCAGGGGTGCCTCTCTCCCCTGTCATGTAACAGATTTGGGGTGCCCTATAACACTTTCGCACCCCAATTCTCAGCAAACCACCTCCCCTCCCACCCCCAGCAGTCTCCCAAGACGGAAGCCATGGGATGGTATCAGATTGGCATGAGTGGGGGGTGCTGTGGGAGGCTATAATCTGGATAAAATGCACAGAATGGTCAGAAGCTTCTGGATCAACTTCTTAGTCTGGGAGTGCCCTTCTTCACCTCTCCAGGGCCTTTTTGTGAGCACCTCCATGAGCAAGGAATGGAGGGAACACCCTAGGTTGTGGCCCACTCATTCTCTCATGGGGAACACCCCCACGATGGAGGGGATCTCAGACTCGGGGCTTGGTTTTCCAGGCTCTGACAGAAACACAATCAACAGGACCTTAGGGCGCAGGAACTCCTACACCCATCCACGCAGTGGGAGCAGCTACTTTTTGAAGGGGCTGGGTTAGGGTTAGGGGTTGTAATCTGGAGCAGCAAAGACTGGAAATGCAGTAGGGTGGTCCCCAGGAAAAGGGGAAGTTCCAGGTTCCCTGCCCCACCCAGAGGAAGGGTGGAGCTGAGAAGAGAAAAAAAGAAGAGAGAGAGAATCTGAGGAGGAAGGAAGCAGGAGACCTGAGGAAGCCACATGGGGCAGGGAGCATGTGAAGAAACCGTGTTTGTTTCTTGGCCTTGCACTGGTTGAAAGCGATATGGGTGAGAGACCCATGGGGAGGTTGGCTATGGCAGTGTTTATATTGATTTTGATTTTGCTCATTTTCTCCCAGATTTGTCTGGCCATTTCTGACCCTTTTCCATGGGTCCTGGCCAGAAGGTGCTTTAGCCTTGTGGCAGCTTTCAGGCCTTGCTTTGGGCCAACCCCTTTTGGGTTGACTTTTGCCCACGAGGGGATGGGTCACTTCAGGTGTTTGATTTAGAAGTTATATTCTTTGTGTTCCGTATTGTATATTCACTGTATTAAAGTCCCTTTTCATTAAAGTCTTTTATGTTTTGTCTTGATGCGGTGTTAACTCTTTGGAGCTCCTCGGTGAGAGCCCAGCACCTGAGCCCACAGAGCGGCCTGGAGGCAAGGGCTGCAGAAGGACCCCAAATCTCTCTTTCCCTCCCTGTCTGCAAGCCAGAGGCAGAGTGAATTCTAACTCAGGTTTGACAAGTGGTCTGGCTAGACTGAGTAGGTCTCTAGCCTGAGGCGTATCCCTGCAGGTTGAACCTCGTAGCCCTAATAGCGTGGAGCTGGGCTCTGGATCCAGGCTTGCAAGTGATCAGCCTACGTGAGCCTCCTCCTCCCATTTTTTTTCCCCCAGAGCACAGCTCTGCTCAGGCCTCTGAAGATGCTTGGGTAGGACCAGAGCTTCCCTGCCTGCATTTTAAGCTGTTCTCTCAGCTTAAAATGTCCCTTCTAGTCCTGTCTGCACCCACCTATCCCACCAGTCCCAGTGATATACTGCTTCTTTTAGGAAATTTTTTCTCCCCAACTCTATCAACCATCTTCTTCAAGCTTTCTACCCCACAAGCCGGCGCCTCCTAGAAGACTCTTGGCCCAGAATGTCTTGTATGATGTGTCCACAAGAGGGCAGGGGCTGGGGCCACAGGATGCTTCGCACACAGATCTCAGCAGAGGTTGTGGTATTTGAGGTGACTGAGTGAGTCTGGGGACTTTCTTCATAGCTCAAATGCCGCTAAAGCCATTGCACACAGCTGGCTCCTCTTTGGCTGTGACGGTGGTTCCCAATTTACTGACCATCCCTATTGGCTAGAATACACTTCTGGATTACTTTTATTGCCAGTAACTGAAATCTCAAGTCAAATGGGTTAAAACAGTATCGGCTCACAGACTGGAGTCTGGTCAGAGGGAACTTGAGGTGTAGTTGAACTAGCAGCTCAAATGATGCTGGGTCCCCTTTCTCGATGTCTCTTCATCACCATGTTCCTTGGGATGGCAGTTCCCAGCCTAATCTTGCTCCCCTGACCCCAGCCAACTCTGGGCATTCCTCCTCACATTGCACCGAAAGCTCCCATCTTTAAGATGTGTAGTTCAAAGTGACAGCCTCTCTCCCAAGAGCTGAGGTCAAGCCTGAGGCCTGGCTCACACAGGCTTGCACTGGGTCATGTGTCCATTCCTGAACAATTTCTGTGACAAGGGAAACTAAAACACTCTAATTTTAACTCAATCAGGACCTATCTGGGAGAGAGGGGTGGGATCTCTTTTACCCAAAGTTCATGGCCCAGAGTGAGGGGTAGGGGAAGTTGGGGAGTGGTCTGCAAAGGGAATTCCAGGTTTGGACCACCCTAAGGCAGGTGGGTGGCAGTGGGAATTGGGCTGTCTGCTTTGGGCTGAGCACACCTTGAGGTGTGGCTTGACATAGCACTGCTTCGCCTGCAGAGGCCTGGCCATGAGGCCGTCCCATTCCCAGGAAGGCCCCACCCCCATGCTCCCCAGTTACTCTCACTTGGGGCTTGAGCATCTCCTTGGGGCCTGCTCCCAGACCTGGCCTCTGTTCCCAGCAGATCCAGACTATTTCCTTTTGAAGAAGCCCCATTTGGGGAGTCTTTCACCTAGAGAGGAAGAAGGAAAGGCCAGGGGTGAGAGGGGTGGTTTGCAGAAGCAGCTCACCCTCTCTGCAATGCTCCCCTTATTTCAGAATGGATCCAGGAGACCCCGGCTTCACTCAGACAGCGGGCACTCAGCCACTGGACAACCAAAGCCAATGGGAGACAGTGATTTTTTTTCCCAGAAGTTTATTGGTCAGTAGATGGTGTCTTTTTTGACATCTCTAATAAGATTACAAAAAATAGCATTGTGTATTAACTGCATTGGCTAAGTGACATGTAACCATGATACTCTTAAATTAGGCCCAGGTTTACACAAATGAAACTTAGTGGTTATCCGTCTACCCTAAAAACCTTAATCTTCCACAATATTTCTGGACCATACCTTCCACAGAAGAAACACAGCCTCTCTTAAATGCCTCCCTTAGAGACACTCTGAGTAGAAGGCAGGAGGTTAAGGTACTGCGGGAAGGCCCAGGTAGTCATCCACCCCACCCTGCATGTGGCCACACATGCTATGACCCACCTGACCGACATCTGGTCCTCAGGACAGTGAGACTTCAGCTGCTCAAGGCCCACCGTCCTGAGAGAGGACCCACAGCCCCCTGGCCTAAGGGCTGTTGCTTCATAATCACAAAAGTTCCAGGGAACCCGGGAGACCACAATGCTAAAGTTCCAGAACCTGGGAGAAGCAAAAGCCAGAGTGGCCATGATCCCAGGGCCACCTGAGTGTATGGGTGAGCCAGGATCCAAGTAGGATGCTGGGCTGGGGCAGGGGCTGAAGGTCATTCATCCCAGTCGCCAGGGGCTGGCCACTCAGTGCCTCTTCTGTGGCGCGTTCAGGGGGACTCACTAGCAGGCTAACACCTGGAATCTGGCTTTGGGAGGGGGGTGGCTGGAGTTTTCATTATCCCCTCACCCCCAAACTCAATGGCAGGAGTTTGTGCCATAAGATGCGATGTGCTGTGCAAAAAATAGATTCATGATTCTTAAGATTTTCTTGCGTGGCATCATGGAGGCCACCAATAGTTTTGTATTTCTAGAGTTTACCTACTTCCACTGCAAGGCGCCTGGGAGGTGGTAAGCTGGGGTGGTGTCAAGGCAGGATGGTCAAGTAGAACAGATGCTGGTCGAAGGCCTTGCTGCCTGTGCAAGTTGTGGGGAGGTAAGGGTGCTTGGGACATAATCTCAAGAAGCTTTGTGTAGACTCTCACTTGGCCACCATCCCAAGTAGTTGTCAGTGTTTTTCTTTCAACCAGCTTTTTATGATGAATGACTTCAACCAGCTTTTTATGATGAATGACTTCATGAGCTTAAGAGAAGATATCATGAAAACTAGACTTGAGATATCTTTTAAACAATGCCACCAGGTCCCAGCACGGAAAGGATCCAGCGGCCAGATGTTCCCTGAGGGCACAGTGCTGTGAGGTTTCCATGGAGAACCGGAAGCCCCAGTAAGCTGCCCCTCTAGGAGAGGGGTCCTCTGTTCTCATGCAGGTAGAAGCAGGCTGTCTCTGCATGTATTCACACCGACAAGGGTGAAAAATCCGTACTTAGGTAACACATATTTGCATAAATTTATCTTTATATATGACAATTGAGCAGAGTTAAAAAGCAAGAGTTAAAAGGTCTGAAAGGCAGATCAGCAAGACCTGGCATCTCTAGAGCTTGGACAAATATATCTATATATCTAAGCTCCTCTCAGTCCTGTCTTAGACACTGGCGCACTGGCCTTCACAGGACCACCGGCTCAGGTCACGGTCCGAGAATAAATACCCCTCTTCCAGGTGTCTGACTCATTTAAAAGCGCTCATTAAGGTTAAAACCCATATTATGCATTTACTGTTCTGAAAACTAAATTTGTTAGTCTAAGCTAGGAAGTGTGAGGGCTGGCATTTGGATAAATACTTCTCTAAAATAAGAGTTTTACTTAAGTCTGCAGTTCTGACCCTTATCTCACAGGTGAGACCAGGGGAAAAAGGTGGATTTTATAAGGCTCAGGTGGGACTATTTGAATGCATTTACTTCTCGCGCCGGCAGGGCCCGCGCCATGCAGGCTTCATCAAGCCCAACATCCCTTATTGCATCAACGTGGAGAAGGCACCTGAGTCCCCAGGCTGAAACCGGCACGGCAGGAGGGTGGCAGTGAGCACTGGCCACGGCCCCCGTCGCGGGCCTCTGGGCATGGTCCACAGGGGGTTACCGGGGTGTGGGTGGGAAATCAGCAGCCAGTGTACAGAGGGGACCTTGATCTTGCCTCATGATGATTCTTTACCCACAAACCGTGCTCCCTTTTAAAGAAAAGCTTTTGATGGCAGATTGCATCCTGTTTCTGCACAAAGGCTTTTATCCTACAGAAAAAAAAACCCTGGAAGGAACAAAAATGCCTGTTTTTACAAAAATAGAGTCTTATGCTAGTACACTGGTCTCTTCTACCCGACAGCCAGTAAGCGGACCTCTCTTTCCACAGGCCTGGACGCCGAAAGCTCCGTGTAAAAACATGTCAATTCCCAATCCTGCTGGAGATGAAGGAGCCTGGGGAGCATGTGAGGACCAGAGAGCTGAAACCCCCTCTTTCCCTGACTGTAGTTTAGGTATGATAAATAGACTTTGTGACAAATGATCACACAGACCAGTGAGAAAACGAATCTTCAGATTTTAACATGATGTGAAGTAAATACTAGAAACCTTGTTCGGGGCTGATAAGGCTGTGAATTCCAAATCCCTAACCAAACACAACTTTGCCGGGAAGGCCCCCGGGGTGGGGGCGCCCTGAGAGGGCCGGTCAGTGGGAGCTGGGCAGACGCTCTGCTGGCTGGGCACCTGCCCTGCTGCGCCACGGTGGGGGACACACAGGCACGCTGTGTCCCCCACGCCTGGGGCAACACTCTTCTTTGGCAGCTGGAAGAGAACAGGGCCCGCTCTGCTCCGTCTGTCCCCACTCCAAATAGAGTAGGAGACACATAGGGTCGCCCTGGTTCGCTCCCAGTGCCCTGAGAGACAGACAGGGGGTACAGACCGGTCCACCATGCTAAGCGGACGCAGATGCCGCAGCGGAGTCCTCTTGCTCCCTGGGGCTCCACGTCTCGGTCTCATCAGGGCTCTGAGTGCTCCCTGCTCAGTTTCCCTTCTCAACACCAATCTCCTTATCATGCCCTCCCACCAAGACTTTAATAGAAACCCAGGGAAATTTAGCCGTGAAAGGACCTCGCCCAGGATACAGCATCTGCCCCCGCCCGTCTGCAGACGGGGAGCAGGTGGCACAGAGCGGCAGTGCATTGCCCAAGGCCACTCCGGAGTCTGCGGCAGAGCGGCCTCAGGCCCGGGGCCCCATGGCCACCCACAGCGCCCGTCCTGCTGCGTGGCCTGCCCCTCAGTCGGCCTTGGGCAGGGACTTCCTGTGGGAGGGGGGCACGAGGTGGGGGGGCAGGCTGTTGGGCAGCTCGTAGCCGTCGAGCTTGATCTTGATGAGGTGCTTGGCCAGCGCGAACTCCTCCTCGTCCAGCATGCCGTCGCAGTCACAGTCGGCCAGCTTCCAGATCTTGCCCAGGACGCTGTTGGGCAGCTTGGAGGTCACCATCTCCTTCTTGGCGTTGACGCCCGAGATCTTGCCGTTGATGGGAGACAGGGTGTAGAAGAGCTCGTCGTAGACGGGCTTGTCTTTGGCCACGACCCACTCCTCCTCGTCGGCGCCCTCCTTGGCGCCCTCTCCGTAGCCCTGGTTGAAGGGGCCCTCGGTGGTGCCGTCGAAGGCGCCGCCCTGCACGAGCTGCGTGGGCATGCTAATCTCCTCCTGGCTGATGAGGTTCATCAGGGACGAGATCTTGCTGGTCAGCATGTGGTCCACAGCCTCGATCAGCTTGGGCTTCAGCGAGTGGAATTTGGTGAAGTCGTAGTTCTCAAGCTGTTCCTGCGGAAGGGGGAGCACACACTTGGTCACTGCCTCTCCTCAGAGGCATCGGGAGAGGAGGCGTGGGGCGAGGAAGGAGGGAAGCCCCTGAAGCAGATGCCCCAGGCCCCGGCTGTTCCAGAGCTGTGGCTGGAGAGCCCGCATCTTAACTCGCCAGAAACAGGAGAGGTTTTTAGAACAGGAAACAAGATGCCTGGGGTGCCTGACTCCCCACAGTAGGTAGCCCTCAGGACTCAGACTGTCTTCCTTCACCTTGCCTTTAAAATAAAAAAATTTTTTTTTAATTTATGCATACAAAACTGGGGTACAGGCCAGAGGTGAGGGGCGGTGAGAGGATTCACTAGAGACAGAGTGGGGAGCAGAACAGGCTGAGTGATTAAGTACACTGCTGAGGGGAGCAGCGGGCGAGTCAGGAGAGGTCTGCCGCGCCATGGGGTCACCTCCAGGGCAGGCGGGGATCAAACTCATGCGGAAGTGGCTTTAGCTTCTTAGTGCTGTGCTTCAACCTGCTGTGCCACCAGGGAGGGCCCAATCAAAATTTTTTTTTTTTTTTTGTTTAGTGCTTAGAGACTGATCTTTGAAGGTAATTTCGTGACATGCTTCACCACAACCTGGGAAGTAAGGAAGGGCAGGTGCAATAAATAACCCCACTTTACAGCAGCGTATGTGCTAAAAGCCCACGTCTCCTGCCCCTTGTCCAGCACCCTCCATTGGAGCACAAAGCTGTGACAGGAATTTGGTAAACAATTATTTAAGGATGCTTTTCAACAGTTAAAAACTGTAGGTCAGGGTACAGAATGTTAAACCGGTAAAGGGGTGTAAAGACGGTGTGAGTATGTGCAAGCCCAGACAGAGACAGAGAGCCGAGTATGTGCAAGCCCAGACAGAGACAGAGAGCCGAGCATCCTAGTCAGGTCAGCGCAGTCTCTGCTCCACCTCCCAGGACAACCGGCCATCGGCAGGGATAACTGGCCACCAGCAGGGACAACTGGCCACAGGGAGGCAGCAGGAACACAGCTCAGAGAGGTCCCTGGGGAGGGGCTTGCCTGGCCACAGTGGGAGGTGGCTGTGGAGGTTATAGAGGCTCTCTGGATGGCTCTGTAGAAACATTTCATCCTACCCTGGTCTCCTTGGCTTCCCATCTGCCGTCCATCTGTCTGTCCACCATCTAACCATCAACCATCTATCCTTCATCTTTATCCCTCTACCCATCTATCTTGGCTTTATCCCCTGATCATTCTCCCTCCCTTTTCCCCTCCTTCCTTCATCCATCCACTCAACATTCATTAGTCACTTGCTATATGCCAGACCTTGTTATGAGGCCAGGGGACTTATACACAAAAAGTCTCTGCCTCAGTGCGCTTCTGTTGACAGAGGAAGGACACTCTAGTTGCTTAGTTCCTGTTTACTTTCAAAAGGGATTGACTTAGCTTACAGTGAAAAAATGCTAACATGAAATAGGAGAATTTCATTTGAAAGGGGAATATCAACAAATTAAAAGGGAGAGGAAGGGGAATCATCGAGTCAGGTAACTTGGTCACTCCAACAGCTTCCAGCTGCTCAGGCCTTACACGCTCTCACTGACTCAGGGAAGAACCACCTCTCTAGCACAAGGGGCAAACTTTCTCTGGTCCTGAACTCAAGTTACTTGAAACATTTTAGAAGGGGCTGTGATGAGCTAATGAAAAATGTATTCAACAGCAGCTTTGCCAAATAAATGCAGGAAATTTCATGGTTGGCAGGTCAGGTTTTCTGTTAACTCCATGTGGAATATTCAGTTTGGCCATCTCTAGAGGGTTAACAAGGGCTCATCCAGGAAGAGAGGATTCACAGGTCCCTCAGCCCTGGCTGTTCTGGACAGAAGTGACAGGTGGAAAAGCCTTTTTGCTGTCATAAGCATCATACTGCAAAAATTTGAGAAAAACTTACTTTATAAAAGCAAAAAAAAAAAAATTAAATCACTTATAATCCCATCTTCCAGCAGTAACCTATGTTAATTTTTGGGTTTGTCAACACATACACATACTTCATCAGCCCACATTTTAAAAGAAACACTGTGTCATCTTTCCATGATATTCCTTTTTTTTTTTTTAAGATTTATTTTTATTTATGCATACAGAACTGGGGTACAGGCCAGAGGTGCAGGGGCAGTGAGAGGATTCACCAGCGACAGAGTGGGGAGCAGAACAGGCCGACTGATGAAGTACACTGCTGAGGGGAGCAGCGGGCGGTCAGGAAAGGTCTGGCGCCATGTGGTTCACCTCTGCGGCAGGGATTGAACTCATGCTGAAGTGACACAAGCTATGCAATCTCTATCGACTGACATATTCTGGATAGAGACGGAAGTGCTCTGAAAAACCAGAATCTCTATGCTAACATGTTATGACCTCCCTTTTTTTGTAATATCAAAATAGTCTAAGCAACCATCAGCTTACAGACAGATTGCCTTAGCCTCATAAAGCGCTGCCTGGCTCAGGTGAGCAAGCACTGCCCCAAGACAGGAAATTCCTTCAGAAAGCAAAAAATAATATTACAACTGGCTGATTAATATAAACAATTATAACACAATCAATATTGTAAGACAAGGCAATACTAGAACATGCTAAAAAATAAAGTTCTTTTACTGCCTGGACAAGAACCCAAATCTTATCACTCTACTCTCTTACTTAAGCTTTTATTGCTCAGTCTTTAAATGAGGAATCTTATTATCTCCCTTAGAGATTCATCTACCAGAAAACTCCTCCACCCTAGTTTTCGACCTTACTTTACCCTCTTTCACAACTTCTCCTTGGCCCATGACCTCACCTTATCCTCTTCCACATTTCCAATCCAGCCTCCACCCTAGTCCTCAACTTTACTTTAACCTCTAAGATGTCTCAATGAGAATGAAGATCATTAAATAGCATTTAAGGTTTAAAGGGACTTTATTTTAGCCAATCAACACTGTAATAAATATAACAATGTTAGCCTTAAATTTTATGAATTTATGTACCTATCTTAACTTTAATAGATTGATTTTAAGAATAATGAATGTTGTATCTCAGCTAAAGGGCAATACGACCCTCAACTGTTCTTAGAAAAAAAAAAGATGATTGTAATCTCTCAGCCCAGTTCATTTGCTTATGTCATCCCACTGCTTGCTCCCAATGTATAAAATAAACTTCTGCTAAAGGTGTAACTGGGTGGTCCCTAGGAGAAGGGAAGTTCCAGGTTCCCTGTCCCACCCAGAAGGAGGGTGGAGCTGAGCAGAGAAAAAGGAGAAAGGAGAAGAGAGGAAGGAGAAGGAGGCCAGATGGAGAAAAAGATGGAGACCTAAGGAAGCCACATGGAGCAGCAAGCATGTGATGAAGAAACCAGGCTTGTTTCCTGACCCTGGACTGGTTAAGGCAGATGTGGGTGAGAGACCTGTAGGGAGGTGGCTATGGCAGCCCTGCCCTGCCCTGGGCTGGCTCTCACACAGAAGTCTATTAGGATGGATACATGCTGGGGAATTTAAAGATTCTTCAACAGGTGTAGCCATTCAAGCCACCAAGCCCAGAGACAAAGGTCAGCTCACACGCTGGTCTCCAGCTGGCCGCTCTGGGACCCAGCCCATTCACTCCCAGCCTTCACCAGAAGCTGTTTCTGACCTAGGGGTGAGTATGAGAGCATGGGGCTGGCTCTGCTGCCCCCTGCTGCCGGGACACTGCCAACTCAGCGGCTGAATCCTCACAGGACAACTGAGTCTTGGGTGGAAGTGGCCTTGCTAGTGTGCTCCTCGCCCTGCAGTGTGGCCACATGAAGATGGGAAGAGGTGCACAGCAGACACAGGCAGCTTCACATCACCGGCCTCTCCTGGAACTGGGCAAAAGCCTTTAAAATATACGGGCCACAGCTGGGTCACCCTGACTAGCGTGGTCCATGACACGAGGGAAAACAGGCTCCAAGCTGGCAGAGCACGACCCTGAGGTGAGCAAAGCTCATAACAAAGCCATCTCCAAGCTCTGTCCCTACTCATTACTGCCCCAGATGCCGCCAATGTGAGGAGCTGGGGGCCAGAGTGGGAGAGGAGGTTAAATGCTCCACAGATTCCGGGCGCTCAGGGAGGCGGCCTGACCTACACCCTGACCCCCAGAGTTTCTTGCGTGACAGCAAACTAGCTGAAGTCTCAGGACACTGAGCATGCACAACAGGTTCCTTGTCCCTGGGAGTCCCGGGGGGGTGGGGGTGGGGGCCCAGGGGAGCTGTGATCCCGGCCGGCCGGCCGGCCGGCTTCCCAAGGAAGAATCTTTGCCCTTTTCCAGGGGTTCTGGGAATGGCTGGTCTAACGGTTCTGCAGAAGTCAGGGCTGGGCCGTCCCTGGGAAACGCACTACCCCAGAGCCTGCTGATGCAAACATCCACTAAACACTAAGCTGTTCAGCAGCACTGACCCACTGGGCACCGGCCTCATCCCAGATGCCGAGATACGGTTGTCAATGGGCCCAGGGCCAAGCAAGACACCAAATAAGTAAGTTACTCTGCAGCAGAAGTTGTCATAACAAGGAGCACAGCCCCAACAAGGGACTTTGGTGCCAAAAACTTCAGTACCACACAGCGTCAAAATGGCAAAGACTGTAACTCAGAATGGATGCCCCCGAGGGGCGAGAGTTTTACCTGTTCACTGATTTATTTCAGAGGCCTAAACAGTAATCGGCCATAATAGGAAAAATTAATATTTCCTTGGATAAATGACTACATTAACACAGCTGCATGGGGCACTGGTTGGGGTCTGGGGTTCTTTTTCTCTGGCGCAGGGACTAAGGTGTCCACTGAGGTTCACCTGGTGTGGGGTCTGGCCATCTAACGAAGGCTGGAGGTCCGTCCCATATTGTGGCTATTTGTTTTCTTCTGGGGACTACCCCTTTGCTTCAGCTGTGAGAGGTCTGGCATCCTCTGACCTGGCCAGGCTAACGCTGGCCTCTGTTTAACAGAGACCATGGAGCATGGGCAGGGGACACCTCTAAGGTTCCCTCATGGGCTGAGTGGTGCCTTTAGGTCTGGGGAGCAGCATGCCAGTGGGTGGGCACTGTGGTCACCTCACCAAGCTAACGAGCCACAGCAGCCCCACTGGGCCAACACACGCTCTGTGTGTTTCCTCACAGCTCTCACGTCAGTCGAGAAACCGATCTCCCCTCAAAGGTGGCCAGAGGTGTAAGGAAACAATCATCCTATGGCTTGGTCATGTGGTGCACAGAGTAACCCTAGGGTGTGAAAGGAGGACCAGCTCAGGAAGATGGCTCTAAGAAGCCCCAGCAGCCCTCAAATTAGCCATCCTGTGACCAGAGGAAAAAACCCAATTGATCCTTTGAGTACAGGAATACCTACTTCATTTCTGGAAGGAAAAAGATGTTTCTGTATTATTTTGAAGCCTGTTAAATCATAGTTGACCAGATTGATGCTAGCAGCTGCACTGCTGGCTCCTGCTTCTTTCCAGCCTCTCGTGAACCACCCAGGCCCAGCTTTCCACTGGGTAGAGCCCAGCAGGCAGGACAGGGCCCCCCACTGGAGCAGGCACACGCTCCCTACTCTGCCCCCACTGTGGGCCCCCCAAAAGTTCTCACATACCTGTGGTAGAGACAGTTATAGGAACCCACATATCTCCAATGTGGGGAAAATCAGGTTGTCAGCGAGGGTGGCGGGTCCCTCTCACCTGGCCTGCCTTGTGCTCGGGTCATCGCCTGGGGGCTGCGTGCACCAGAGCTGGGGTTGCCACCTTCCTGGGAGGACCGAGGCCGCCAGAGCAGGTGGGTTCTTGCACTGGACAAGAAGATGGTCCACCTGACTCTATGAGAAGCCCAGTGGCGTGGCCTTGCTTGAGAGGCCACGTCAGCCATGGTATGCTCCCCCAATGCCACCGCAGGTGTGCAGGGGACATTTGTGTTGGCCAGGTAGGGCAGCTGAACACAGCACTGACTTAAGTGCCCCAGGACTGCCCAGACACTACTCCCCGAGATCCTGAAGCTAGGCAAAGACTGTCCACCATGGACCCTCAAGCAAAATCCTCAGTAAGCATGTTTGCTATGTCCATGGGGACCCATGGCATCTGACTGCAGCCTCCACCTGTCCCCCACAAGCCCTAAGGCAGAAGCACCCCCCGAACTCATAATCCCACAGTGCCAGGCAGGCCGCTGAGGTGAGACCTCCAGGTCACTCACAGCTCTAATTCCCTTAAGGTTGTGATTGCAAAAAATAGATGTTGCCTCAACAACAAAACAACCTTGAACATAGCTTTACGGGGCAGCTTAGGCGTCAGCCTCAGTGGGTTTTTTTTTGTATGTCAACTGTGTTGTTTTTATTTTATCCCTTCCTTCCCCCATTTTCACAGAGAAATAAAGGTCTAGACGCAGCACTGCAAGCGGGCAGAAGCCGCTTCAGTGTGAGTTCGATCCCCACCACAGAGGTGACCCAGATGGCGCAGCAGACCTCTCCTGACGGCCCGCTGCTCCCCTCAGCAGTGTGCTTTATCAGTCTGCCTGTTCTGCTCCTTATTCAGTCTCTGGTGAATCCTCTTACCACCCCTGCACCGCTGGCTTGTACCCCAGTTCTGTATGCATCAATAAATAAATCTTTAAAAAACAAACAAAAAAAGGGAGAAGTAAAGTTCTAGAAATAAGGGAAAAAAAGAGGACAGCTTATCCGATTTTTCATGGGAGCTAATTTTACTTCAGGAAACGTGTCCCCTCTTGTTTAAACGTTTTAGTAGGAAGCTATTTTCTGCTTTACTCACAGGCGCCTATCAGAGATCCCACCAAGAGGATGAACACATTGCAACGTCCCCCATCCAAGCCATGAAACCCTCCTGTGTACTCAGCAATCGGGCAGACAAGGGGCGGTGCGCCTCTCTGCCCCCCACGACACAGGGGCGGTGCGCCTCTCTGCCCCCCACAACACAGGGGTGGTGTGCCTCTCTGCCCCCCACAACACAGCAGTGGGCGCCCAGTACCTGCATTGCCTTGACCTCAGGGAAGTCCCCTGCAGAGATCTGGTATTCTCGCTGCAGCTGAATGTAGATTTCTGGCAACCTGCTGATAAGCTCTCGCTTCTTGTTCTCCTTTCCAAACATACTCGGCATCTCCTTCTTCAGGTGGCTGATGATGTAGGCATGTACCTGAAAGGGGAGATGGCATTTAGAACACACCCGAGGACACACAAGATGGCACCTTATACGCATCCTAACACGTCACAGGCATGCACGCAGCCTCACAGCCCTCAGGACAGGAGAGGATGGGAGACATTACAAGCAGGATTCTAGGTATGGACAGTGTGCAGCACATGAGGGACCCCCGGATGAGGCTGTTTGGGGGTGACTGCAATGTGGGCCCCAAGCTCCCAGAGAGCTGCTTGGATGGAAGGTTTGAGAGCTGGAGTAGAGATGGTGAAGAGGATGAAGAGACCTTTGGGAAGAGGGAGAAGAGCCCCACCATCCAGGGCCAGAGGAGCCAGAAAAAGACGCTGCAAGGTAAAATGTGACAGAGAAGGGCTGTGGGAAGACAGAGCCAGGGAAGCGGTGACAACTGCATTGGGCTTTGAAGAGCAGGTAGGTTGTGTGGGAGAGGGCAGAGATGGTGGTGCAGAAAGGACACGGACAGAGAAAAGGGGTGACAAGCTATGGGGTGTGCTGGGGGCAGGGTCATAAATGTGGCTGTATCCAGGCTTGGAAGGTGGAGATGCATTCCAGGGGGGCTGCGTTCGGAGGGCCCAGGAGCCAGTGGCGGATTTAGAGTCTTTGCTAACTTGATAATATCGGGGAACAGGGGCAACAATGATACCACGAGATCCCTGCTTTTCAGGTGGGCTGGTGATGCTTGGCTGGGGACAAGGTGTGCAGGAACACTGGGGACCCTGTCTGCTGAGCTGTGCCTCTGAGTGGCTGTCCTGTGTCTGTGCGGGGAACAAGCAGCATGAGGGGGACCCGTCAGGGGAAGATCTTAGTTCTGGTGATTCATAGAGGACCAGAGCAAATGTTTCACCAAGGCCCGTGCTTGGGAACCTCACGGACAAACTGGAGACCTGTGTAGAGGATTGATATGCATGGAAATCTGGGCCCAGGAACAGTGAGCTGAGAACTGTCAGATGCCTGCCGCCA